CGACACCCTCCAGAGACGGTAATCAATCTTTTCTCTTAGAGCAGAAATGAGATGTGGGAAAACAGCGAGGAGAATCGGACGGCATGCAGCTCGCTCATTTTCTCCCTTCGCGACGAGTAGATCCCCTCGACCTCGATCCTTCGCCCTCGATCCGCCCGCCCCACTGCGTGGATCAAGGACAAACAGAACACCGCCTCATCTCATCTCGTTCGTTTAATCGGGGCGACCCCATTCTCCTGAGCCGAGTCGTCTCGGGACGACCTAATCATTCTCGTGCGGATCGCGAAATAATTTGTTAAAATATTTCCGCGAATTCCCTTGCATCGGGTATCAGGATGGCATCAACAGGAATGCAGCAGAGCGCAATTACCGAATCATGACTTCAGGGAAAACGGAAACACACGATATCTACTATGTCTCTTCCTGCGGGCAACACTTTCCCAATAAGTAGAAACCGAATCGCACGGAGCACGACCGATTAGAATTTACATCTGGATAGAATTTCCACATTTAATTCTAGAGAGGCAAGTCCGAGACTTATCGAATCGGCATCGTCCGCGTCGACGACGGAAACTTGCGATTCGCCGTAGGGCTCCAGAAACCCCACTGCTTAATATTAAATACAATTTAATGGCCCTGATGTCGCACGAGGCCAAGATTGATTGGGGGGAAAGTCCGTGTCATGAAATGAACGGGCGACAATCATGCCATCTAGAAGTCATTCGAGGAAACAAGGTTGTTGCAACAGAAGTGAGATGGCGCCCTAATCGCCTCAGGAACAAGGTATAAATAGATGCGAAGCGGCAGGTAGCGACGACAGTTGAAATAGGCGCCATGTTTGGTCCAAGCCCGGCCTGAATGCAAACATTTTGGCTTGGGGCAATGAGAGGGAAAATTTCGGGGGAAAGGCCTTTCCAGGTCGGGATCTTCGCGCTTTCGTCCCAAAATGCGTTGATTTTCACGAGAACGTGAGTTGCGGTTGTGCCGACTTGACCTTGACCTTTGTGTCGTTGCTTTTTCCGTCGATAGTGGTCACGTTTCGGGTCAGGCAGGTTCCTCTGCCGCTTTCGTGGGGGAAACCGGCCAGGAAGTGACTGATGGCGGATCTGTGCCTGGCGATCATCAATTTCATCGGATGAGAGAAGGATGAGAGAAGGGATGAGAGAAGGATGAGAGAAGGATGAGAGAAGGGGCCGTGAAATGGAGTTTTTAGCGTGGCATTCCCTTAAATTTACTCACGACTCATCACACATCCTGCTCCGTGTGAATTTCACCTCAATTCCCTCCGTCTTCCCAAAAATTTGGCTGCATTAAAGAATGGAAAATGATATTGATGTCGCTACTGAGACAAAGGGTTTCTTGAACAGCAGACTGAATTAAAGAATTAAAATACAAGAATGAAATCCGACAGCAGCTAGTACTGGGTAAGGTGCATGTAAATTCCTGATTTTAGACGAAGGCCAGACATTCCAAGTCCCGAAGCCAATAGATTCTAAACCAGGTAATTACTCCTCCATTAATGATGAATGATGATCCATTCCTGATCCATTCATGATTTCCATGGAAATAGGAAAACACATCTAAGTGCTATTTGACTCGTTTGCAATCGTGCCATTGAAACTTTGAGCATCAAGCAGGCAGGCCCTGCTCGTGGCACTATATTGGTTTCCTTTCGAAAAAACGATTGGCTCTATCTAGATGGTTTTCAAGTATTATACATCTCTTTGTATCATTTTAATGTCCATAGGGCCTTTCTGACAATGGTATTTTGGTTTGACTGAGAAGAATGTGAAGTAATCACCATGTCTGTTTCGTATGCAACAATTACGCTTATTTGAAAATCGGTGATGTGAGAGATATGAGAAATGTCGACGAAAATTCGAAGTTTTCTCAGAGGCGTTTGCCTCCAGGTTGCCACGATGCCCCATTCTTACCCTTTTGTTTTGCATTTTTTTACATTCATCTCTGTATCCGTCTCATTTCGCAATACGATCGATCACCTGGACTTGTTCGTACTTCTGCTAGAAGTCGCTTCTTTTCGGAATGGAGTAGGATGAAATGCTATAGATATCCTATTGCATTTCAGCTCCTTTGCAATAGGATCAAATCCTGCTGCGCGAATGAGAATGGAATGAGCTTCAAGACTGGCTTCTCTCCTCTCATCTCCTCACTCTACGTACATTGACTCAGATCTTCCCGGGACATATATTGCATGCTCTAATGCAACCACAAGAAATAAGGACAGCGGCGTGCATGAGCGAAGGTGATGAAAGAACTCTTATCTATCCGGGCGTGTTATACCTTTCCGGATAGTTCTTTCTAACGCGCTGGTGCTTCCCCCACTCCCTACTATAGCTGTGCGTGATGACGAATCCTTCATTTTACTCATCCGTAAACTCTTCACATCGAGATATTCTAGTGATGACCAGGGAATTCCGAGAGAGATATGACTACATCATGTGAGTTGGACTACAGGGTGTGAACAACTCAGAATTTTAATCACGAATTACGTTATTTTCGCACTCGGCGTATTACTCGGCTAAGACTAGGCCATTCGGCTAGTGGTAGTAACCAAATATTCACCATTCCCTTCTTTTAAAATAGGTTTTTCTCATCTTAAAGTAGAACGGAGTCTTAAAAAAAAATGGTCCCAAATGAAAGGCAGGTTCCGGAATCATTTAAATTTCTTTGACTCAATCTCATCACAACATTACGAAGGAAAAGGCCATATTCGGTTAAGCAGATTCTCTTAGGAACTTCTGACACGGAATCAATGAAATTCAAGATTTAAAAACGGCGCATGACAAAATACGTTTCCGGGTTGACGATGGATCTGAACAAGTTCGTAAGAAAGGCGATTCGTTATCCTTCGTGCGGGAGTTTGCCTTACTGTGCTAAAAAAAAACCGACTGGTACATGTGGTTATTTTTTCGTTATTTAAAACTTACCTGAGGGAACAAAGTTGCATATCTTGGACTTTATAATCGTGCGTTATTGAACTTTCCCATGAGTGTTTTTTTTATGGTGCAACGCCGCTGCAATAATGTCAGAAGTATGATGAAATGTTGCACAAGGCACAGAACTACTCGGTCCATCGCACAGAGCACGAGACTGATAGGAGAGGCATGTGCTGTTGCGATGAGGAAGAACACGCCACTTTCCTCGATTGGATTATCTCTTCGTGACGTGGTTGGGAGGACGGACTGACTCGAGAAAACTGCGAGAATATGCGAAGTTTATGTGTAACTGAGAAGGTGTGGAATTTGGTCCCTGCATGAGTAATGAAGCAGTCGATATATTTCTCATCAATTCCTTGCTTAGTGCAAAAATGTGCCCCGTGTGTACCAACACATTAGATGAACACTTTTTGTACTTCGTATATACTGAAAAAAAAACAATAGGCAAATCATTCTAAATTGCGTTCGTCTAAAAAGCTTTAGAACTTATTCCAATAAATGGAGAAGGTCCATTAATTCGCATTGCTAGTTCTGAAATGCGATACTGAACCTCAAGGGTACCTTTAATTTTTGGGAAAAATAGAAGGTACTTCCTAATGGCAGAGTGGAATTCGTTTGGTACTTTCTTCGCTTCCATAAAATGAAATGAATGCTAGGTCAGAGAAACTCAAGAGGAAACCAATATATTAAATAGCACTGTCTCCTGCAATTAGCACAGATGGGACTTACGTTGTTGAATGTTGATATTAGTGTTTGATGACTGCAGTTTTAGGAAGACCGGTGCAGAGCAGCATGAACTAAATTTAGCCTCTAATTGAGGAGCAATTCATTCAGAAACAGCGAGCATGCCCTACCCTCTCGCTGGCATTAGAGGAGGCGCGAACAAATAAAAAAGGTAGTACACTACAACTGCTTTTTAAAGCACCCTTCAAGCTCGTCTTCGCCGTTGAAGATAACTTTTTAAAAATATTTGTAGATAGTTCGAAGGGGAGGAAGCATTTGATAGAAGCTCGAAATGCACCAACACAACGTGGAGAGACTTCTGAGACTCACTGCACTGAAAATAATGTAAAAGCAGTCGTTTTTCAGCGGATCAGTATGCTAGGGCCTTTCTTCATTGGAAATTCATGGATTGGTTCTCAGAGTAGATGTGGAGTTGCAATAATTGTCCTGGCATTTTTTCTTGCAAGCTCTTCAATGGAGACAAATGATGAGAATGATTCAGTGAGCCCTTCTTCAGCGCCATCAATACGCTTTCGCCATCTGGGACCATGCCAACATGGCTACCATCACGCGACTGAGGCGCCCCCATCTGAGAACAGTTTTATATATGTTGAATCGTTTACATTTCTCACTGACACATCACCCAATTACTTCAAGCTCTCCTCTCCTCCTTGCGTCCACCTTAAACACCCACCCCAAACATCCAGTCATCACTTCGCAGGGGGGAAACGTAACCTAATCCTACCTCACTCTTTGTCTACACTCTAGGAACGAGGACTGCGAGGGACTTGAGATTCCATGCCAATGTCTTCTCCACTCACACCTCCGTCTTTATGGATTCTCAGAGGCTCTGAATAGTGGGTAAAGTCGATGGAATCAATCACATCCGACGAGGACGTCAACAAGACTCAATTGTTGCCATCCTTCTCTCATCCTTCTTCAAATCTGACCAGTTTTTTTTGTTCAGAATTTCTTCTTCACGTGTCCATGTAATCCTTTGATGCATTTTTTTTCAGCGAAAAGATCTGGTCGTTTCACTTATGTCCTAGAACACAGGAAATATACGAGGGTATTTACAGTGAAAACATAAACTGCCCTAATGTTTCCCACTTTTGAATCTCTGGTGCTATAACTCTCCAACTAGATAAGGTAATTGAAACTCTATACCCTATCCAGATATCAATTTTTCCCATATGTTATTAGACACAAGCTGCAAGTCAATTGGTTCGCCATATCCTGAGTAGTGGAAGACTAAATGACGCTCATCCGTTCGGACAGTTTCTGACTTTTTAAATTTCTTATAAGTATCACTAATATATTCCATTCAGTTTACTCTCTCTTGAACTTTAGCGTTGCCGCAACTACATTGGGCATACTCTCAATAGGCTTGACACACTCTATTTCGTGAGTGAGGCTCCATTTGACTAGGACTTGCAAACATAACTCGTGCATGCGCGCAGGCCTTGCTTCGCGCATTCAGGCGATGATGATCCCTTCCAATGATCCATTAAGTAAATGCTGGGATTTGGGTAATGGTATTGTGGCAGACAATCCAGGAGTTGGAAGCTTTATTTCTGAGCTAATTGGAAATTTTCTTGCCTGTGACCTTGAATTATTGTCGTTTGAGAATATAACTTAATCCACATCGAACTGACAGTAGTAGATGGTTTCCTTGAGATCGTCCTTGGGGATGTGACAGTAGTGTTAAACATCGAGTCCCCCATCTATTCCATACAGATTACAGCCTCCCTTTGGTCGTCTTTCATACCCAAACCTTCAGAAATCCACCAATTCGTTTGACTGTAGGTTGCACGTGGGGGAAGTTTGATTTCTTAGTAGCTACGAACAGAATTTCAAGAGATATTGACCGTGAAGGCGAGCTTACCCGTCGAACATCTTTTTTTCTAGAAATTTTGACACTTTGAGACATGAATGATGGTAATGATTTCGTTTTTATTACGATGAAGTATATTGAATAAGCATCCTAAATGTTCATGTGTCCGCAACCTGTCCCGTTAAATGGCCTCAATTAACATGATCTCCATATCCATTCAAACTTGGAGTCGATTGATTGATTTATTTATATGCCAGCCATTAATTGAGGCGTAATAGGAAAAAAGACAGAAACTGTAATAATGGGCAAGTCTCATTTAGTCTACTACTACTCAGGATAATGTGGCTCAATTAACTATCAACTTCTGTATAGTAAAAGATGAGAAGCAGTGCTGCCTTAAGAGGGTATTGAGTTTCAGATAACATGCATCGTTGGAAAGTTACGGCAGCATTAGGTCAAAAATAGGAAACATCAGATCTGTTTATGTCGTCATTGTAGATATAATATTCATTCCTCAAATCTGGCAGTTGAAGGACGAAAACATTTTATTGCTTGGACTTATTGTCACAAGGTTCCATTTTATTGTTGATTATTGTTTGGTTCGGGATGTAGCGTTTCTGCTACATCATGCATTAAAGAGTTAACTTTAACGGTTGTGCTTGGTTTGCGCCTATCCCGATCTATTCAGCAATTTCTTCATGGATTGGGTTAAAAGCTGCATTGATAGTTTTATTGCAGAATGGAAGCAATAATAAAGATGCCTACATTTTTAAATGTAATTTTCATCAATTTAGGTCAGGCGTACACGCAATGGTCTGAGGAATGAGATAATAGACGACCCCCAGCCTCTGACACAGAGGTGGAGTGACCATATGGGGTACTAAATGAATGAAATATGACCAAATATTTATGGGACTTTTAAAGAGAAAAGGAAAATTATTGTTGCGAAATGTCCGCTTTTGTTTCCTTAAGTTCACATTCTCTGTGACCGAGTTGGTTCGAAATATTTCGAGAAAACCTTTCCTTTTTTTTAAATGTTCCCTGTGGTCTTCCATTGTTTTAAGTCTCAAAGGTCTTTGTTACTGAGCGTTTGCCTCATCTCCAATATCCTACTTTATTTCTTTACTTTATTGCTGAATATTTTTGATAAGAAACATGTACTTTAGCTCATCACATAATATAATATGCGTCCAGCGTCCAAATGCCATCAAATTATCGACGATGGATAGTGTAGATTTGCTTTTATGTTGAGACAGTTTGACCCTGAGAACGATGGAAAGGATACTTTTGAGTGGTTGGAAAGTCTGACTTGCGGATTTTATGATATTGACGCGACAAAAAATGGTTATAATGGAAAAATTAGCACATAAACCAGTCTCAATATTTTTGTGCAATACTGAAATACTTGATTGAAAAGTATTTATAGTTATTGTCTCTGCCGCCATATTGAAAAGTTTGGAATGCCCTTCACAAAACTAGGAAAATTACTTATTTTAAACTTGTTTTTAGTGTTTGCATAACCCAAATGGACCTGTTTCCCCAGGTATTTGACCAAATATTGATTGACAGCACAAGATGCCTTTACAGCACATAATGTTATTACCCCTCTCTGGTCGGATACTCAGCTACTCAACCTCAATTTTTGTTACAAGATCAGTTTTCCAACCAGACCGTAAGTCCTCGTGCTCACATTTTTCTGACACGAAGCGAAGCAGCTGTAGTTCTTGCTAATGAACGAATGCTAATTCACTCTGAATTTAAAGCCCGACATTTATACATCCTCAGCTGGAGGAGCTGCCATGAAGCGAGTTCGTTCTTCACCTTTGCCTTGCATAAATTTCTCTGCCGCTGAATACTGAAACCAGGATCTATTGGATGAATCAGGATGCAGACAGGATCTATTGTCAACATTATTTTTATGCTCAACGCTCTGCTGGTGAGTATCCATTCATAAAATAGTTTGTGTGAATGTGCGAATGCCTGAAAGTGAAAATAGATTGGAAGATTGAAGGCATGGCTTGAAGGATTGGCTTGAAGACATACTGTGGACAAACGTCTGCCCACAGACGTGTCATATCTGACGAGGCCAAGCACGTCACTGCCTCTGCTTTGGGCAAAGAAGAATGCGGCGAAAGCGAAATGTTCTTTGAACGAGAAATCCGAGAGGACTTAGTGAAGTTCATGATCTACTGTATTAGCTTAAAAGTAATTTATTTCATACTGAGCATTTTTCCTAATATTATGCTTTTCACATATTTATTATAGATATCGCATTTCTTATCGAGATGATCTAAAAACCCCTGGAAGTACTACTGAAACGCTTTCCTTCGTTTGAATCGGTCATTCTAGAATTTTCTTCCTCTATAACGATGTTGTGCAAGAAAGCACGTCCTGTTTGATGTTTCGTAAAACCCTATATGCATAATTTTGTTCGATGATTTATTCGTATCATCTGCAACACGTATTGTTTTAACGTTTAAAGTGTCTAGGTTTATAAATAAAAAGTGGCAGTCAAAATGTACATTTTCCACGCTTGGGCTGGATGGAGTTTCAGTACCGCTCAAACGATTTCTCTTCTTCCCCGTCACAAATGCTGCTTTTTAAGCATTATCCTCCCCGTAGTATTCCTGACTGAGTAATGTCACTTAGTCTCATGTGAGAAGAAAATGTGATTTTTTAAAATAAATTGTATGGGGGGTTTAGTGTATTGAAGTACTGGAGAGAGAAAGGAGTAGTAATATAGAGTGACCGTAAAGTTAAGAAACCCAAACATTCATTATTGATGGCCATACCTTACCACAAAAATATTCAGATTCTGTGCAAATCTAGTTCAACATGTGCGTGTTCACGAGAAATCACATGATATGTTGAAATTGTCCCCCTTGTACATCTAGACATAGCTGCACTTGTCTACACGTCTTTCCAGCCACACGTTTTAACATGTCAATGGCAACCCCAACCACGATCTGTGTGATGTTGTCCTTCAATTCTCGAACTGAATGGGGACTGCTTTTATGGGCTTGCTCCTTCACATATCCGCATAAGAAATAATCGGTTGAGGTAAGATCTGGGGACCTTGATGGCGAAATCCCTTTCAAATCACCCGTACCTTGAACACAGCTGGAACACGTCGCAATGACTTTGTAGGGCTTTGTTCGAGTTTGCTCCGGATGCCGCCACAATTTCATCCGATAAACCTGGTCTCCCGCTTCGAGGTCTATCAAGAACGCTACCTGTGTCATGAAATCGCTTCACCAGCTTTCAGATTGCAGACACTGTTGGTACCACGCGATGTTAAACTTCTTTCGAAGTGCTCTTGACACAGCTTGTAAGAATTTTGATTCAGATATCTCAACAAGGAAAATACGCTGCTCTAACATTAACACCATACTTGAAACTGAAAGACTAAGCACAATTTTGGCTTGACACTTGTGCACTGAGAAAACACCCCCTTTCATATATCGTACAAATGTTGAACTATAATTGTGTAATGTAGGAAGGATCCATCTTGTATAGTATGGACAAAACGTAAAATTTATTGGGTTTCCTAACCTTACGATCACTCTGTAGTTTTATACCAAATTGTGGACTGTTCTATGGAATTTCTTCATTCTTGGGCCTTCTTTTAAAATACCATTTTAACGTCCTGACTTTCCTTCTAAAATATTACATGGTGACACTGAAGTCATGGACATTGAATTAGAATGCTGCCATCACAATTAGTTGTTTTGAGGAAAATGTGACTAATCAGAAAAGCCGATTTTCCTTTCAAAGTTGTTGACTGTTAGTCTTTACCCAAATAACCATTAGGTCTTACAAATTTCCGGCTAAAAATTTTAGAGCAAATTGTATGTGATACAAATGCTTCATTTCATTCCTAGCATTCCTAAATGTAAGTTATACGAAGCCGCAAGCAGGACGTTCTTTTTCGGCGCCACCAAAAATTAACGACCCTGGTAATGTTCCTGAACGAAGTACTCTAGCAGGATGTAGGATGAAACTATCCAACGTGAAGGATATTTTTAAATTGTAATTATTCCACAGCTTACGGAGTTAGAGGCGTTCCCAAAAACAGGCAATCCCTCTTCGGCAGAAGAATTTTGTCAACAGCTGTTCAACAGAGGACCAGGAGCGTCGCTGAGCCCCACCTCGCATGATCAATGTGGACTATGTTTGCCAGGGTGAGTTTTAATTTTTATCGCATGACTAAGGTAAAGAAAAAAGTTTTCATTTTGGAAAATCCAACAAATTCACCATCTGGCAACACTTTGGAACCAATATTTGGTTCCATATTATCTAAGCCTTGGATGGACATACAAGGAAAGTATCAACATTCGCCAATATTTGAGAAGCGTTTCGCTCATATTTCATGAAATGTCAAACCTTTGTATCTTTTTCTATATGCACACCCTTCAAACAATCATGTCAATTGCGCTATAATAAATCCCAACTTCCCAAAACGATGCCATTTACCAATGAGTAAACAGTCTCCAACATTCCGTTCACGTATTAAAGGTATATAATGATTCAAATATTCTATATGTCCAGAATGTCAAGCAGACATATGCAGTAACGATTCCCTCGCCAAGGCAAGGTTGTCGCTTCATCGGCTTCACTCATCGAATTACAGGTTCCCAAGTGGCGCAATTGCAAATACTAGGTGTCTCTCCAACACCTTTGGCAGCGGCACCAGAGAAGAATAAGTATTAGGTCTGGAAAAAAGTGTCCGGAACTTTTAGTGGGTTAAGCTTGAAGGGTTCGTGCAGCGCCGGCTATGCTTGTGCTGTCGCTCTGTTACATATGAAAAGAAAGAGGCTGAAAAGCTCTGTAAAATTTTGTATATCTGCCATGTATAGCACTCAGGTAAAAGTTTTCCTGCTCGATTGAAAAATGCGGCTCGACGACCACATCCGTCATTGCTTACTTCTCCAGTTCGATAAGGGGAGCAACGCGAACGACGCGGTCCGTCGCATAAAGAAAGTGTACCCTGACGCCTGTTTAAGCACATCCACGGCATACGAATGGTTTGAGAAGTTTTCATGCGGAGATCGAACTCTTCAAGATGAACTCCGTTCTGGACACCCATCCGTCATCCATGAGGATACGCTAAAGTCCATGATCGAAGATGATCCGCACCAAACCACGTCTGAATCGGCGAGCAAACTCGGCTGAGACCGTACAATCGTGTCCAATCACCTTCACACCATGGGAAAGGTGCGCAAACTGGACAAATGGGTCCCTCTCAAGTTGTCCGAAACCGAGAAGATTCAACGAGCGACCATTTGCGCATCTTTGCTGTCGCGTCACAAGGAAGACCCGATGTTTGGCCGGATCAGATGAGAAGTGGGTCCTCTGGAGCAACCAACGAAGATCAGCATCATGGCTGGACCCTGAAAAAAGAAAAAAAACGCAACATATGAGAAATAAATGCATTGTCTTCCTAGAAAATTGTGTCATCTTGAGCATTTTCTGATTACTTGGGGAAACCAAATTAACATAAATTATTGAATATCTCGTGTGGCTAACGAATTGTCCCATTTTGGACCATATTGATCATTTCGTATAATTACGGAGCATTAAGACTTCTACCAAGACGTAAACCAGAATATCGAACACTGAGCAGGGGTTACTGTCAATAGTCGCCAAATCCTGTACCTTGGATTTTGCTGCACGTCATTGAACAGTGGCATGCTCCATTGAAGGTCACCGTGTATTGCTGTAGAACAAAGGAGATATTGACTTTATGATTCTGGGAAATGAAGAGAGGTCATTATCAACTAAGAACTTATGCTTTTGTATCACAGGTGCCATTGCTATTCGTAAAATTTCAATTAACGGATAAGGACTAACTTTTTCGCGATCACCCAGCTTAAACAACTGTTCATAGCAGGTGTTGCGGCGTGTTCGAAAACTCCAATCCGAAAAATATTCGCTGATTTCGTCCATCTGAAGTGCTTGATACCACTTACTCCTGCATGAAAATGTTGTCTCTTCATTTTGTCTGCATGATGCTAATAAAAACTATATACTGTACGCTTTTTCGATTTTATTCGCACGATCTTCATGTAAAACTGAGACAGGGACTTTGGGAAACGCACTGCACAAAACGTGCCCATTTATTAAAATATTCTGCCCTGTGTAATATTATATGATCTCCCACAGTTACGTAGTACACAACCCTATGTGCCCTTCGTACATGAATATATCGAGCAGCGTATTTCTCTTTAAAATGGTATATGCCGTCTATTCCAGCTACAGCGCTGAGCTTCTGCATGGTGGAAGAGTCTCCGAGGTATGTACAAAGCAATCAAACGGGGAGAAGGAACTCATGCTGCCGTATCGGAAATTCATTCCTATCATTGCCATCTTGGGAATCGCTTCCATCCTGGCTATGATTTTTCTGGCATTCTGTATCTGTAAGCACCTCGAACCTGTCAAGCTCGTACATTGATTTCGCATATGACTGCAAGAGTTCATAACTTTCTCAACGTGCGGAATTCTCTTTGAAAACAGGGAGAAATAGGTCGGAGGGTTCGAAGGCGGACCAGATACCCCAGCTAGGCAAGTGAAGTTTTCTGGATGAACTTGAGGATCCAGATGCCTCTAAGTATTTTGAAAAAAATTTTACTTCCACCTACAAACATGTTTCAGGATAGGTCTAGACCACTTCTAATGTTGAGAACACAATGCAAGAATACCTGCTTTGATTATTGAAGTAAAGGAATCTGAAGTTTCTATTTGATTAGAATTTGACTGATATACGTTTTTCTCATTGTTTATTTCTGCAGCGTAACATCGGCTCCTATTGGTCTATTGGTCTTTTTTCCAGAGGGAGCCACGGAGAGTATAACACACACCATTGAAGGTGCAACAATAGTAGATTTAACGCACCAAAGTGCCATTCGGAGAATCTGGACAAAGCTAAGGGCAGAAATGGATGTGAAAGAAGTGATGAACCATCTCCTACAGGAGGGAATGCTACAGATGGATGAGTGGGTGGAAATAGATAATATTGCCGTGGAGACGGAGAGAAGAGAACGTCTCCTATGTTGGGTTTACTCCAAAGATTTTCAAGTGTACAGGATCTTTCAAGACGGCCTCGACGCCGCAAACCAAACCCACTTAGCGAATAGGTTGCAGGAGGTATGTGCTACAGCAGAGAGCACGGAACTCTGAAAAGCCTTGTTGGTCGATTGCAGACTAACAAAATGTGAGCATTCTGAGTGGTACAAGGAAAAAAACCTTACGTGTTGAGAGTGTATTCTAGTTCTAAGGGAAGCGCCACTAAGCAACGCGTCAGTACATGTGGATGAATTTCTGAAAACTGTGTTGTGGATTATGTCGTGAATCTTAGAATCTGTTGCGAAGTTAAATTTTCATTCAGAAAGCTGAAGGGTCAGTCATGTATGTGTCTGAAGAACTGAAAGTGAGTACAGTTGGACTTCAGCCGAACAACAGTATTGTGTAAAGTGATATTGATCATCAAGATGAACAAAAATATTGCTAAGACAGTCTCTTTCAGTGAACCCACCTTTTGCATCTATTTCTTCTTTGCTTGTATTTATTCTCTTGTGTTATTTTTGGAAATATATTGTGACTTGAAGTAGACATCATGAGTGACTTAATAGAATACCAAATGGACTCAATTTTTTAACAGTTACTTCAGAAAAAGTTCCCATTATTAAGAAAAGTTCATGTATGTTTGCAATTCATCCAATTCTGACCAATGGTTTGAAAATATAAAATACCAATTCGTGGGTTTGTGTCTTAAACACTTTCTGTCGTTCGTCTGGCATCCAAACATATTCCTGAGGTTTCTGTGGCTACCACTTTGATGAAGCTACCAAGAACGTCTTGAATTATGTGCTTAGGATAACCAAGCACATCAACTTCAAAGACAAGGTCCTTTATGGAGCACATCTCAAAGTTAATGTCGCATGCAAACAGGTCATCCAGAAATCATAAGCCAAGGAGGTGGTGGTGGCATCTTCTGGGATAAGTAAAATGGGGAAAAAGACGAGACACATCGGCTCCATGCGCAGAAAATCTAAAACGTAGATACTTAAGATACACCCAAATGTCAGAAATGATAATTGGATTGGAGGACGTGTCCAACAACCCTGCTTGTACTGTATGTAATCCGAACAGCATGAAACGTCTCCTTTAAAATTCATTCTGGACCTTTCTTTGTTTAGACCTTTCCTGCAGACGCTGTTGATCAACTTCATTCCAGTTAATGACGACGAATCAATAACTATCAAAACATAGTTTTCCTATAGTTCATCCAGGTTTTCCCTGGGTCTTGGTTAGAGAAGAGGCAGGAGGATTCGGAACTTAAAAAAGGACCAGGCGCGCATCGGGGATTGGAGTGCCCCTGTCCATTTACAATTTATCATTTATTTTGTGCCATTGCGCATGGTCTTGGTTTTTTTGCGCATGGCCACATGGCGATACGAACTTTGATGACATTTCGAAAGTCCCTTGAGAAGACGTCAATATGTGCATGATGAAGTTTCGTGGAATTTACTCCAGCAAGAAGCGAGATTTACAAGTTACGGCTCGTTGGTCCTGTTTTTGCCGCACCCCTTGTACCCTCCAGGCCTTTTACTCAAGTTGGATCCGCATCGCGACTGGGATCAGCAAATTCAGAAACCTGTCAATTAGGGACTTACTTTCTCCCCCGATTTCCTGTGTGTGAGGAGACAATCAGTGAGATGTGCAAACCATTTCGTTTCCGTGTCAACTCCAGACAAATCATAGGACATTCATGCTCTTCTTTTCTTTCTCGCAATACTACCATCTGGACACGACTTCCGAGGAAATCCAGGAGGAATGGAGTTATCAGATCTTCTCCCTCCTATGGGATCTCGGAGGGGCTCTCGGCTTGCTTCTCGGAGCCTCAGGTAAACGACAAATCGAAAAATTCGGGAACATATTTTCCCAACAGCATGCTATGTAATTTTAGACATAAAAAAGCGTTGACCATGATACAATCTTAGAACCTTTCGATCCCCACTCCAAACGGTGGGTCCATCCACTTAGCAGCCTCAAACACATTCTGGGACTCCTCAATGATTGCCCAGGAAGGAAATTTTGATAGTTTCTGTCAAAAACTTGATTCAAGTTGTTTCACCAAGGTAATTCCGCATTTATCAATTTGATACACCCATTCGCAAGATGTATGCATTAGCGTAATGCATGAAACTGATGCATGCACTCCAAAAAGCCTTCTTCGACCAAACACTCCGACATGTTGAAATTGCCTCCAGAGATTTCATCTCTCGGTAAGACTCTCAACAACAACTTTGTAGTGAAGTGGCTCGAGGAGAAAATAAAAAGAATGTGGCTCCTTCGATGACGCCGCCCTCTTTCCCGCTCATAGGACCATTAGCAAGTTTTCTCTGCGTTGCCTCATCCCACGACTTTGAAACTTTCCTCGACTTTTCTACGCGCTCTCGGAATTCAGTGGGCGGAGCATCAACTTCCATGAGGATTTGGTTTGAAATCTTAAGTTTGAGCCCGATTTTGGCAAGACAGGTGTTCCTTAAAAGGGAAAACTTGGGAAATCCCAGGTATGCAATGAAAACAGATATTCACAGACATATCATTTGGAGACGTCCGTGTAACCTTTGACCTTGAAAATAATATTTTGGATCCGGGGCCAAACAGATTCTAGGCGGCACAAATCCCGCATGGAACCCTTTCCAAAATATATTTGGAAAGCTACCGAATGCCTCTCATGGGTCCAAATATCAAATGGTTTTGTAAGTGAGTGGTTGTTAAAACAGTCACTTGAGTACCTGAGACCTCTTTAAAGGGGAAACCATCTATAGGTCCGCACCATAATTCCTTACAGTGTACATCAAGTTCAGCCCCCCCTTCCCCCTTCCCCCCCATAACAAAAATGGCCAAAGAAATATTTCTCTCTGCGCATCCAGAATTTGAACGTTCATGTATACTTCCACCACTCTAAGAATATTTATTTTGATGAGAATGGCTCCTCCCCACAAGTCAGCTTAACGTGGCCAATCGTAAACTCCGGACTTGAGAGGCAAGATAACGAATAGGGTTAACCGCGGCGAAGGTGAGATAACAATGGATTCTTCTGAATAGTATGATATACTATTTCCAAGAGGTAAACTGAATAATCATACTATTTCCAAGAGGTAAAATCAGGAAATATATATATAACTAGCGAGTTTGTTTGCCCGAAGGGCAAACAAACTCGCTATGGTCGCGCCTTCGGCGCTTCATTACCTTGGATAGTGATTAATTCATTTGTCCTTTGCGAAAATGCAAACATGTATTTAAAGAACGTCCCCATTGAAATACGTGACATATCGGACGAAAATCTTAATTTTTATCAAAATCATTAGTTCCTTCATTTCTTGTGTGCCTAACTTGAAATCCTTTCCTGTGTACTTTTTGTAAGAGTGGAGAATACATTTTGAAATACTTCCCTCCAATAATCTACTCTAAAGAGACATATTTCAAAAGTAGGATTTTTCCTGCACTCAGCCATTAAACAGGTACTTCTGGGGTAAGTTTAAATTTTCTGTCTCTTTTTCGTTGGATCAAAAAAAATCACGAAAATGAGACTGAAAAAAGTGCCCTAATGGGTTTAAACNTTAGAATCCTATAGGATCCCTATAGGATCTTATAGGTCTCCTGACCTTTAGGATTCGGGGGGGATATTTCGGGTTTCAAAACCCAGGCATTACGACGGAAAAGGCGACCGGGGTTAATGGCGCAGCACTTCGGTGTAAATAAAAAACCGATTAGGGGTTTTTCCATGGTAGGGACACATGCATTATTAATACCAGTAATGCGGGGATCTGCATAATGTATGGTCCTGCCGCACATGTGTCGCTGGATTGCACGTCTACTTCGTTGGGTAGGAAGAAGTAGTATTCTTCTCTCGACCTCAGGAAATAGACGACAGAACCTGCAATCACGATCTCTTTACTAAAACTCCTTTTGGATAGAGTCTACTCGGTTTCGTACGTGGTTTTTAAAAGGAATAAGGGCATATTTCTTCACGGGACTCCATGATTATATCTGGAAAATGGGGATGACAAATAAGGAACTGTCAAAGTTTCTTGATTGCTACAATGAGGCAAGGCGAGACATTTGGGGACGTACAAAACTCTCTTGTGAGAGATGATTCCTTGGGTAAGGGGAGGACACTTTTGTGTCCTTTGAGAAATGTGAGAACCCAATACTTCCATCTAGTGGCCTAGAGGAGAACTTCAAACCGAACCCTATAGGCCTATAGGATTCCGTATAAGACCTATAGGGAACCCTATAGGTCCTATAGGTCCTATAGGGTTCCGTATAGGCACTATAGGGAACCCTATAGGCCCAATAGGGAACCCTACAGGTCCTATAGAGAATCCTATAGGTCCTATAGCGAACCCTACAGGTCCTATAGGGAACCCTATAGGTTTTATAGGGAACCCTACGGGTCCTATATAAAACCCTTTGTGTCCTATAGGGAACCTATAGGCCTTATGGGGAACCCTATAGGGGGATCTATAGGTTCTATAGGAAACTCCATAGGTTCTATAGGGGGATCTATATGTTCTATAGGGGGATCTATATGTTCTATAGGGAACTCTATAGGTCCCAAACTGAACTCTATGGGGCATATAGGATCCTATAGGATTCTTATAGGAATCCTATATATTCCTAAAGGAATATATAGGAATCCTACAAGACATTTTCGTAAGGGCCATTACATAATGCAAACTCTCTTGCACGTCTCCAAATTCAGTCGTGCCACCACGTTCCAGTCCGTTACGTCGTACAATTCAACGGAGGGAGTTTCAATTCCACCAATGGCATAGATGTTCCCTTCGGACGAAATGAGGCCGTGATTAATTATTTTCTCCTTCATGGGAAGAAGCGGACGCCAGTCGTCCTTCCTCGCGTCGTACGCGTATACACCGTCCAACGGCTGCATGCGGTTTTCCGCCCGCCCGCCGGACACGTGGATTTCACCGCGGTGGACGGTGACGCCGGGGAGAGCGAGGCCTGTTGGCATTTCGGCCGGCTCCGTCCACGTCTTCGTCCGCGTGTCCAGGCGGTCGTGCTTCGTTTCTGTGGGATACCCGCCGATGACGTGGAGACAGGTGTCCAGGAACACCGACGAGGCACCGGCATTCTCCCATTTCGTATCCGGTGCCTGGATCCATTTCCACGATCCCCATTCGAACCTAAAAACGGATTTAGAGCACCTGAAACCATCCGACGCACCCGAGAGGAAAACTCCACCGCAGATAAAAGACGGAATGGAGTCCAACGGCAGACGCCGGCCGCGTCACCTTCTCCCGTGACGGAGGTCCGCTCTCCCACTATTTCGCCGAAAACACTTGAAACTTTCCTCCGCGTGCCACGAAGATCTTCCTATCGACAGCTGAGAAGGTTCTTCCAGAGAAACATCCCTCTTTCTGCGGATGGGCGGTGGGGACGCGAGCCGACCGGTCCCGCCTGTCCACGGAGAGGATCCGGTTTCCGTCTCCGTTTTTCCCTATGCACCAGAACGTGCGATGATGTAACCTGTGCCCCTGGTCTTGTTTTTTCCACGGGGACTGTGCCGCGTGGCTCTGGCACGTGGAAGTCCCTCGCTTCCTTCACGAGGGTGAGGCAATCTGGATCCGCAGCAATCATGGGGTCGCCGATGAGATTCTCACGAAGATGACTCGAGGGCAATAGCGGAAGTCTCACTTGGTTCAGCAGCTCCTGCATCTCAACTTTCCTCGATTCGTCGTGATTCACACATTTCCTGACCGCTTCCTGGCCGGGTGGGGTCGATCCGGAGCTGCTGAGATGCTGAGATGAGAGGGAGGACGTCCGGCGCGACTTCTTCGTCTTCCGTCCCGGGCTGGTCGTTGATGAAGTCCTGGCCCGGGCGAAGGCTTAGATCGGATGCGATGAGCGTCACGGAAGTGTCACGGAAGTGTCACGGAAGTGTCACGGTAGTGTCACGAAACATCCGCAGGGATTGCGTTCCCGAAAACGACTAACGAGGACATAGAAGACCTTTGTCCTTCAAATACGCCACAAGAGAAAGACTCAGAATAGAGTTCTTGTAACCGCTACGTGTGCGATCGTTCGCTCTCTGATTTAACCAGAAGGTACCGTTATTTTCGCACGTCTCGCAAGATCCGCGTGAAGAATGAACCGGGTCTTCTTTTTCATTTCTGTTGTTGCTCGATGATGCCGACCCGTCCAAGTCGCAACACGACTCCGAGCCCATCGACTGAAGA